ATCTTTTCTTGTTTATATGTTTATAAATTACGTGTATTCTCAGTATGTAAAGGAAGAAAATGAAACACTTTTAGAACTGCTTCTCTAAAGCTGAAACAATCACTGATTTGCGTATCAAAAGAGAGCGATGAAGGTGGCACATTCCATATGAAAATTTAATGGTTGTTGCTCTCTTGTTTTACCAAGCATGTTAAAGGAACACAGAGCAAATGGAAAGGAGAAAGAAGAGGGAACGCTTGAAGTTAAGGAAGAGAAAGATGAATTGGCGTCACATAGAGAACGATGAAGGGCGAAAAGACGGTTGTTTCAAGTTTCCCTTATTCTGTGTATCACAAGCTTTCACAAGCTGTAAGGTTTGTGTGTTAAGCACTGTTCAGCTCTACTTTCTATTCTATTTTTCACAGGACTGAAAAGTTGGTGAGAGTACTTGTCTCGCATGTTTTGTTTAATAATTCTGATTTTTGAAGAACTTCACAGTAGTGCGTATTAAGTTATTAGGTGGTTCATCAATACCCAGGACTTCAGTGTATTAATTACGGATAAATCAAACGGCGGAAAGGTTAAAAGTTGAAAAATGCATTTTACTTTTGTACCTCGCTTTAATAATTTGCATCAGTCGACAACTTTTTTGATCAGAACTTTCAGATAGGTGGAAATCGCGGATCGTTTTGCATTTCTGTAGAGAATGACCTGGTAGTTGGCGAGAACGTCAAACTGGCCAAGTTGTCATGCCACCAGCGGACCTCTTACCTGTGGCACACAGTAACCCGCAATGACGTCGTGTCGGTCAAAGCGAGCAAGTATAATTTTACGTTTTGTTCTATGCTATAATTTTTAAACAGTATTTCACTATTTCATTATTTATTTGCGCTTTGCGATCTTATGTGGCTTCTGGTATCAGCGGTGTTCAGTGCAGTTCGTTTTCTGGAGTCGTCAGTGTAGTATCGTCTGGTTGGTGCTCTGGCTGTCGCGTGAGGAATAAGCCTTGTACGTGATGGAGACTGAGGTTGCTCAGTATTTAGAGCGTCAGAGGTCCGGAGTTTGAGTCCTTATTGTATCACTTGC